TGACTGAACTAGTGAACTTTTGTAACTTAAAGATAGATATTATATTTAATATTTAGCAAAAGCGAGAAAGAAGAATTCTAGTGCAATCTAGTATAGGAATAAAAACCGATCTAACGATAGCGTTGAATTTGCGCGATTTGTCGAACAAATAAGTCGAGCTCAGCACATCTTTTTGCGTTTTTATACATGAAACAATCGATAATCGATATCGAAATTGCATTTGACTTCCTATCTTGTTTCATACATGATAAAACTACTTTTTTTTCTAGTAGATTTTCTGATTATTCGCTTCTATTTTAAATACTTGCGAATAAAGCGAATAAGACATATTCAACATTACACTAAAATAATTGCATAGATTTATGAGAGTAAATTATACGTGAAAGTATTTTTTCTAAAGCATTTTTGTATCTTTCGATGCATTTCCAATTGCATTCCTATTTATCTTTTAAATAACATCACATTTTTCTAATATTCAATACACATGCTTTATATTACACAAAGTACAAGGTGTATTAATACAACAAAGATTGGAATGAAGGATTCATTACTGTATAACAGTTGTTGAGTGATATATTGTATTCTGTTTCACATTGTACACAAAACTTTATGCGCGATTTCAATTTCCTAGCCCTTTGACTGACTGAGCGATATTATAGCACATTATTATAATTTGCAACTGTTTCAAGGATGCTTGCATGTACGTAATATCAATGCTTAAGAACTAGGACAATAATGTCGTTTGACTTGGAAATCAAAGAAAGGAAATATTTTATTTCAAAATGTAGGTCATATCGTCGTGTGTGTGTGTGTGTTTTTACTTTCTGAGCATGCAAAAATGTTAAAAATAACATTTTGTTTGTACAAAACGTCTTTAAAAAAAATTAAAATTAACATTTTATTTTTTACAGCGTATATACCCATTATAGTATAATAATATAACAAGCATGACTTTTAATTTTTTGTAAGATAATTTCGTAAAAAATATTAAAAAGTTTTTACGATTTTTATCTCCTGCATACATTATATGCGCAATTATATTTCATTATAGGGAATAGTAATGGCGTAAATGGGAATAGTAGATACTGTCAAGGTCAAAAAATGGCAAGTGGGTTATACGACGTGCTTGAAAGTGAATGATTAAACTTTTACGTGCTATTTTTCGCGCTTATATATCGCGGTGTATGTGGAAGCACCATAAATTCCTTAGACGATAGCGCACGAATAACGTGTCGCCAAATCATCGTAAATTATCTTCATCGCCGGGCAAGTCGTAAAGCGCTTCTGCTCGTGCAAAATCTATTGTCGAGTAAACGCTTGACGAGAACGCCCACGTGCCTCAAAGCTACGAGAAATGGAAACTGCAAGAATAAAACACTTGTTCCTCGCTACACACGCTATGTTTGACGTTAAAATCATGACGTGTTGATTCATGAAACTGTATTACTAAATAATCTCGAAAACGCTTAGTCAATTTTAAAATCGATCAAGTCTTTTTTTTAAGTCTATTCTTTGACTTGTCAATGTATTGGAAAATTGATATCCGCAAATTGAAATACGAATTATATTATAGAGTTTGGAAAAAGATAATTGTTAGATAGAATCATAAGACATCACAATACATATTCAAGCGTATTCACTCCAAGCTAATAAGAGCAAGACGAAATATAACCTGCTATCAAGTAGTTATTAAAGATACATAGAAGATAAATTATATATGTCAGAGTACGGTTTACAAAATTAAATATTATTCCACCCGTGTTATAAAATATATATCAAATAAAATATACATAAAATTTCGAATTTATTATTTAGACACAAACAAGTTACATTCATAAAGTTACGGATACAAAAGTATCATACATTCTTCTGTGTCAAATGTTTCAAAATTCGAATTATGTGGATCAGGTTGTGCATTTAATATTTTCAAGCATTGAAATAATGCGTATTATTTCGATAATTATGTTAAGCATGAACAGCGAATATGTGTATACAGTCGATCAAGTTTGATGAACGTGACCTTCTGATCATATTATGCGCGCGAAATCTACGGAATGAGTAACCTCGTTTAGCAGCGACGTGATCAGTAATATAGCCGCTTTGCAATGACTGCTTTATGGGTGTGTTATAAACACACTTTCGCTCTTGCTAAATTTACGCTATTGTTTTAGCCGATTTTGTTAATATCTCCATGATTGTTTAATAATGTTGTTATCTTCCAAAAAAATTGACAGACAATTTTTTAGTTGTAAATTTTCCGCCATCAATTGAGTGATTGGCATTTATATTTTCTAAAAAGGTTTATATAAAAAATTTAAAAATTTGAAGCTATTATTGGCGTAAAGTAAATTTCATCCCATACAGAATGTTTAATTTACAATTTGTAGATTAATAATGACACCTTGTTCTTTAATGATTTTTAATCTATTTTTTTCTAATATTTTTTATTATCTATACATTATTACCTAACATACTTTCTTTTCGTGTTTTTTCTCTCATTTATTTATTAAGCAATAAAATTAAAGATAGCGCACAGCAATAACTAACAATTGTTCGTCAAAAATAAAATTTAAAAAACAAGAAACGGAAAAAACCAAACTCCTCTTTATGTTTATTTATAGACTGGACAATTAAAAAAATATGAGCATGCTAAGAGCGTTAAAGGGTTCAAATGTCAGCAATGAATGTTACCATTTACGATCAGCTGAAAATAGCAAGAGAGGATACCTTCGGACGTCTCAGAGGGACGCGGATATTGACTGGCGGCGCGCTGACACGTACATGTCCAATGCAGTCGGGGGATACCTTTATTTTATTAATAGTGATGGCTCAAGCGGTACACGCAACGCGGTCATGTATATTTATGCAAGTACGTATGTACTTATTCATTCTCCTCGACGGTTCACGAATCGCCTCTGACTATTCATAACGTCACCGACTTTGACGGACCGGTGTCACCTTTCCGAGCCTACCTGTTTCCGAATTGATAAATTAATTTCATGTCAGTGCATTTTGAACAAATTACATCGCGAATGAAAGTCGTTTTCAGTCATTGCCATTTTCGACAGATAATCATTATCGAAGAGGAAAGTGACTCGAGATAGACGATTATTGCTTTCTCGGAATTGTCATATAAGCCGGGCTGCATTAACTATGCATGAATTTCGCGTGAGATGTTGATGTTTCGCTAAACATATTTATATACCTGTTATTGTAATAACTATTTTGTCACAACACTGACAAGATATTGAAAATATTAGTTTTAGATAAATCGCGAATCTATAATAAACTTGCGATATATAAATTACACACACTTTAAATAAATTTATCTAAAAAGATACTTATCTATCTTCAAATTCAAGTTTAAAACTTATATAGAATCTAGATAGTGGTATCTTTTTTCTTCTTTCATATGTTAATCAATATTGATTACGATATATTATCAAAAGCAAAAAGATAAAAATAGATAATTTAAGCGATAAGCCGTACATAAAAAATTCTTTTCTTACAAGTATAATATATATTCGGAAAGTTTCCATTTCAAAATAAGTCAGATATATTATACAAAAAGATAAATTTTATTATATACCTTCATGTTAATGAAAGCACGTCAGTACTTGGATTTAAATATAATTTGAATACAATGGTAAGATAAAAAGCTTTTATTTTTGTCAATGTCTCACAACGTATTCATGATGAATTCTTCACAGTGTACCTTTATCAGATTATATTTATTTCACATGGTTCTTTTAACAAAATTGTTATTCATTATGCCAATGAGATTAGAAGAGCATATTATAATCACGTTATACAATGTAGATCACGTGTTCATATCGGTTAGCTCATAAAAAAATTCGGAGCACGTGGTCGGGTTTGAGAATCTTGGCACGGATTACTAGATACAAAACTTCGGTTTATATAATTGGCATATTTTCTAGTATTATATGAGTATAATAATAATGTTAATCCATATACCATGTTTGCTATTTTTGGTCTAGATAAATTATTAGATAAATTTATCCGCAAGAACAAAAATCACGATTTCATATTATTAATTGACACAGAAATTGCATACAGTAAATAAACTATAGTAAATGCAATCTGTATGTAATAGCTGTATTGTTAAACCTGAGGTTAAATCTTTTTATAAATACATTTAATAAATATAAGTTCAATTGTATTTTAACATCAATTTTTCTAAAAGAAAAAAAAGAATTTTATCCCGATATTTTACAATACATTTATAATGTTTCCTATGTTGGAGGAATTAAACTAATTATATGAAACCATCTTTTTTTAATCATAACAATTATTAACGAGGAGAAAAACATGTTTATTTTTGTATAAGTCATTTTTATCTTCGATTAATTGGTTCTAGGTAATTGTTAATCACTGATAAAACTAACTAAATAATAAAATGATAAAACTAACTGATAAAATTAACTATATAATATCTATAGCATAAATACGAGTGTTTATTTTCGAAGCAATTTGAAAGTAAGTTAAAAATTTTCATCTTTTATATATATATAATTCAAATATTTTAATAAATCACATCATTTAATTAATCATATACTCAATTTTACTAATATTTTATGTTCTTTTTTATTTTTTTGTTAATTACATTTACACTGAAAATCTCGAGCTTTTTTTAAAATCCAATGCATGGCATTATATTAAATGTAAATAAAAATCATAACTAATTCAATTTGAAGTTCTATTTGTATGTAGCTGATGTGAGATATCCCATTGCATAAATGATTCACATCCCATAAAACTTATTTATGAGGTATGAATGTCATATAAATAACATTATTACGAGTTGAAAATTGGATAAATACATTTGGTACTAGAAGTACAAACTATTAAGTACAGCCTTTGACCTCGTATAGATGATGAACAAACAAATCTTGGAACTTGTACAGTTATTCTCGCAACTAATTCCAAAGAACAATCATTCGGGCAGATTTATATGTTATCTGAAATTGATAAGTCAATACCTGGAACGGAGTAAGGTGCGGTTTGTGGCTGCGGTGCCCAATAAGCCTGGCTGATAGCGGGATAATGAGTTTTAGAACCGATGCTGGTACCGGTGCTGTGCCGGTGTTTCTGGCTTTTCATCGCCATCGTGAATCACTTTCGGTGTCTTCGTTCTCGAAGTCTCCACTTCGCCGACGTGTTTTCCGTTCTGTAGATACTGTCAGATTATCGTCATGTCACAATCCATTAGGTTTTCCTTTTCTTAGATCCCACAATTTTTTATATAATAATCGGTTAGTTCGATGAATAATAAAATTCAATTCGTTTTCACAACACGAAAGAACGCAAGAACACGCTACGTTTATCGGTATCGAAACTCCGACAGTTACCAGATCGAACTGATGGATATGAATGGGAAACCGAAATGTCCTACGTGTAACGTGTACTCGTTCCTTCTCGTATTCTTCTTCAATAATTACTCCTGAGTTACCGATCACTAGTAGATCATTATGCAACCGACTACCATCCGGCAGTTATACAATCCCGATATGCGCACGGCAATTGAGATAACAATAACCGAGCATAACAATGGTAGACACTATATAGATGATACAGCAGACTGCCCAGTGATTTCTATCGTCTGTGGTTTGAAATCACAGAGCTTCGCATTTATTCACGTTAACAAGCACTATGATGATTCTTGATATAACAGGTGGCTTCACTATCACAGAAGGTGCAATTTCTATAAGTGACACAACATATACAGTAACAGCAAAGTTAGGGACAGGAGAGTCAAAAATAATGATCTGTAAACTCCGAACGATAGTCGGAGTTGTTCGATGAAGACTTTACCGTGTCGCCTTCACGTCACACACAGGTATAATTCATCATTATGATACAACTTGTCTTTCATATCACGATGGGCACACGCTCGCCGACAGTTGCGCACGGTTGGCGCGCCGGCGGAAATTCTCTCGCTCTGGCACTCGAAAATAACTGCGCCGCCTTTCCCGGAAGGCTCTTTCCGCGCACTCTCGTGCTCTTTTATTATTAACAACGTAATACTGTCGTGCATACCGCCGCTGTTCCGCCTGCGGCCTGTCGAGTCGTAGAAACGTCGTACTGTGATGTGCGCGCGTCGGTCACACGTGGTTGCACCGCGTGTATACGAATCCCCACCACCTCGCGCCACCCTGCGTATCGACTTGACCGCGTGTGTTCAACCCCTCGATGAGACGAGTCCCGCGACCTCCGCGACCTTTGTGCGTGTCCGCGACGCGACGCGACGGAGGGGGCCGCGAGGTTCTCACCCTCACCGCGAAGAAGCAGCGTTCACCACGAACCGAGCGACCACGTCGTCGTCCACCGACAGCCGACTCGGCGATCCGTGGACTCTGCTCGTCGTCGTTGACTCGCCGCCGACTCGGCGCACTCAACAAGTGAGAGAACCGGCGCTGCCGACTCCCGAGGCTCGGGCCTCGGCCTCGCTCTGCCACCCGCCGCCCGCTCGTCACCGCGCACCGCGCACCGCGTGCACTCGTGACTCCTACCTATTCGCCGCCGCGAACACTCCCTCGGAGCTCCTCGTGGTCTTTTCATTCTAGCTCATATAGCCGCCTCCTTCTGCGTGTATGTGTGACTACGCTTGCACGCCGCGCTGTGTCCCCTTCTGCCTCCCACCCACGCGTCTGGCATCGACTTTGAGAGAGTGTGCGTATTCCTTTCTTTCTCTCCTCCTCTTATCTCCATATATCTTTGTCAGACCTGTCGGACTACTATATGTCGAGTCAGCTTATGCACGTTTGCAAACAATAACCAATAATTTCGGATCTATCGGTTCCTAATTGATATTCCCGTTTAATGTTTGGTTTACATTTGTTTGGTACCTGTTCCATATCTGTTTGATGTTTATCCGATAAAACTTTCGGACTTATTGTGAGTATTGGTTTAATAATTAACCTGATTAGTCGACAGCAATTTGAAAAGAGCATTAAACGTGATTAATCTTTACTTTTTTACTTGGTTCCAAATCTGATTTGATGCCGTTTCGGCACATGTAAATTTATTTGATGAATATTGTGCAGTGCTATTGATTAAATATTTACTTAAACGTTTTAACAGTAACTTCATGTCTGTCTGATATTAGTTTGATAACCCGTTTTACTTTTGTCCGTTCTATTTAGAACTAAGGTCATTGATCGCTGGGTTTTGATATTAGATTTGCATTCGATTTGATACCAATTCGGTAGCACTCGGCAACCGTGTAGTCGATCCTTCGCTTGGCAACTCGGAATTTCCTTGGAACGCACCGGATATCCGCTTTGTATGTTTCATTCGGGTATCTGTGATTCAGCGAATCCAATCTCTCTCACTCTCGCTCTCTTTCTCTCTCCCTTTGTCACAATTCATGCACTGTTTCGTTCGCTTCCAAAGCAGCACGATGGATCTTCGCAAATGGCAAAGGCTCAGCCAGCTGATCGCAATGTAATGTACACGTGACTATCTTTGATGTAACGATCTCAAAGTTACACAGAATAGTAGAGAGAGAAATTTAATTGATATTAATCTAATCCGTGCTTGCGTGTTTATTCAGTTTATTCTGGTTTTCAAAGTAAAATCACAAAGATGTAATTAACACATTAAAAAGATTTCTAATTGTTATCTGCCAAATATAATATTAGATTGGGAAAAAAGTTTGTAGCCTTACAAACTTCGAAATTCAAGCAACTGCAATTTCGCTAAAAATGAACAAAATTTAAATTAAAAAACGTTTTATAGTTAAAATGTTCTTTGAATTTCTATAACTTTTACATACAGAAAGCTAAGACAAAATTTTTTCTTACTTTATGGGTTTATTACGTGCCCCAAAAAATTTACGAAAATTTTTGATTTTTTGACTTGAAAGCTTAAAGTTTTTCCTACTATTTTTTAAAAATATTCCTAACATTTTTTGTTATTGAATTATTCAGGTTAAATAAAAGAAGCATTTCTTTTTACTTTGATTACTTATAACTTCGTTAAAAATCATCGCATACCATAATAAACAAAAATTTTTTAAACTGAAACTTTGCTATAGCGAATGATATAATTATCAAATTAAAAAAAATATTTTTTGAAAACATGTAAGCACGACATAAATGAAATAGAGCTACGAACTTTTGTTTCAACTCAATAGTTTACCTAATATTAATTTATATTAGTATTAGTATTATATTAGTTTGATAATAATAACAAAAACTAAATAAAATTACGTAAATTAATAAAATGTCTTTTATAATAATGAGTATCACATCCATTATTTAGAATTATGAAATAAAGATTGCAACTTTAAGGAAATTCTTTCAACATATTAAAATTTAATCAAAAATTTAATTAAGAATAAATCTATTAAATAAAATAATCCTATTTTCGATCAAAGTAGATCTTAGTGCCCACTATTATCAGTAGACTGCGGAACTTTATGCAAAATACTTAACTGAATATTAACTATCGGACAGTTTTAGCAGTCAATCGTTGTTCGTTAAAGAGTTATTAAAAGGTGAAGTAAAAAGATTGAGATTGCCATCTGTAAATTTACAAAATTGCAAAATATGCATTTTATGCAAAACATTTAGTTAAGTATTTTGCATAAAGTTCCGCAGTCTAATTATCAGTATGATATCTGAACAATCGGGAGATTCAAACACTGGCTGAGATAGTATTTTTCGCAATAAATTATTTACAGATTTTTAAGATACTTATTAGAGCATTATTATTATAATTGACGATCAATCTATTTTTAAATATTAATATTTCAGTTTCAGTTTGTGATTGCGTTTTAAATTTGCGACAAACTGAATCGACACACAGTTTATAAAACTAAAAAATGTATTTACAAAAATTTGTATATTAGTATTATTAAACACTAAGATTCGTTTTAGCTAAAAATAGGATTATTTCTCTTAATTGATTTAGATATATATTCTCGTCAGTCAAATTTCGAGTAATAATTGTTTAATCGAGAAGAAACGGATTTTTGAGTGACCTTCGATTCATTCCCGTCTCTGAATCGAATGACAATTTGACCTCGGTAAAGCCGACCGTAAATTTATGGCATTCCGTCGTAACGCATCGCAACGAGGCGGACAAACGTAGTAACGTCGCGGCTCGCGTGCGCGAAACAATAGTCACTAGAGTGCGACGCAGCAGCGCGTACGTTTCGCACGTACGCGTACGCGTACGCGATGGAAATCGTGAGTCAGCCAGACACGGAAACGGGAGATCTCGCCTCTCGCACCCAACGACGAAAATGATGAGTTCGTGATCGGGATCACCGAAAGAGCGTACTCGAGGTATTGCGCCTGGAGCACGCGCCGATGATTCGTCCATTCGCGGAGGATGCACCGACGTGATGAACGTCGAACGACCATAGTCACGTCCGATCGGTTGTAATTCGCCACCGATCGAGTTGCGTGATTCGTCAGCGGGCCTCCTGTAATCCATCAAAGTCCTTGACGCGACAACTTTGATTATTCGGTACGATCGTCCGACCACGCGATCTGATCGCTGCTAACACGATCGTAGTTCTGACACAAGATAATTTACGCGCAAAATGAAACCAATATACATTGCAACATTGGCATTAGCGCATCACACGAGCGAGCAGATAATGATCGATAGATTTGAAAATAACGTAGACTTGTAATATTTGAAAATTGAAACAGTTAACACCATGTACTTTAAAGCCAGAGATGGGCATGTATGTATTTGAAATACTTTTATTTGAAAAACAGTATTGGTAAGACAATTATATTTTGTATTTTGTGTTTGTTCAGAGTACATGAAAATATTTTGTATTTTGTATTTTATATTTTAGTATTAATAAACAAAAGATTATGAAAGTATTTTGTATTTTGTATTCCAAATACTAACATTGATAATCAACCTTATTATTTGAATTACAAGATACAAAAAGCTTTCAATCTTTCGATTTTAAATACAAAATACGTAATACTTTTATGTGATCGGCTAAAATAAAAAATACAAAATATGCTTGTATTGCAAATAGTGTTTTAAATAAAAGTATTTCAAATACATGCCCAACTCTGTTTAAAGCAACATATTTTTATGTAAAAATAAATCTACAAAGAGTATCTTTATTGAAAATATTTTTAGTTTTTATTCAATACGTTCTTGGCTTTATCTCTCGAGTTGCATGATACACTCTCTCTCTCTTGCTCTAAAATAAAGGTTTCTTAATTTAAATTTAATATGAAATATGAAACGAGTTTTCCGAACACACACATATATATACATATATATAATATATATATATAATTTAATTAAATAAAAAAGATAATCTTATTTAAATCCTTTAAATAGTAGCTGAAATGTCAACAATGATAGAGAAACCTTAATTGAGTTAAACATAACGAGCGCTAACGAGGTGCACGAAAAATACAATTCGGGTCTAATCATTCTTATTGGCGAGAACCTTACGGTCCAACAGTCGCCAAACTTCGATTGCTCACGAACACTGTCGATTATCGTGAGTAATCCTCTGGGATATTTATTTGTTGCCCGTGGCGGCCGGATAGTCGCTTTGTTGCCGGAGGAAGTTGCACCATCGTCGAACCCGACGGAACTTTTCCCGAAACTGGTGGAAAACCTAAATTCCGCTCCGTTCCGCTCCGGTAACAAAATAGTTTCTCGCCGCCTGTTGGATCATGTTTGGAGTTCACGACCGAAGCCAAAAACCCGCAGATCGACTTTTACCAAATATTTACCAAACCTGTTCGCGAATTCCGTATACATACGGAAATAAATAAGCATGCACGTTCGAAATATGCATATGTCACAAATATTATTTATAAGATATTTTATAAAATGATATTTTCAAATTAAAATTATAATATTCAGAACAAAGAAATAATAGCATTATACGAAAAATTGAAGATAATCTAAATTATGTGTATAAATTATAGATAAATCGTTTCTTCATTCAATCTTAATTGCGCTATTAAATAAAATTTTATTTTTATCGCCTTCCGATTTTTCCACAGCTTTATTAAAAAGCGATCTTTGCTTCGTCTTGTGCAATGCAATTCTTAAGGCGTATTGAATAGCTCGTGCCAAATATGCGTCATCGTTACCACGGCATTTACAAACAAAGCAAACATGTATGTTGTATGCGTGCAACATAAACAATTGGCTAAACATTGCGGCCAGACAACGCACTGTTTTTCTTGGTTTTATGCAAAAACACCGATAAATTGAATAACGAGATGCATAACCCTGTTTTTAGACGTCGCAATATTCCGTAAATTAGTTTCGATTCGCGCTATTTCTGCGTCAGTTCGCGAACTTAATGCACGTGCAAATTCTGCCAAAACTCGTCCACTTTTAGCCATGGATTTGCATGCCAGCCACGCTAAAATCAA